AGAGGTGAGAACTACTTCATTCCAAACAGCCGCCACCGCAGGGCAAAAGCTAGTTTGTCTTCCTATACAGCCCAGAACGTTAAATGTTACTTAGAATCTTTTAGGATGATTGTTCTTATCATTTGCTTGTTGAAGTACCTTTTAATTTAGGCTCTAATTAAAATGCAAAAATTTTCATACATACATATATTTGACTTGCGCCATTTTGTACATTAGTTTTTAATTTTTTTTTTTTCCTTTTTGGTTAAGAGAAAATGGAGATTAATTCGAATTGTGGAATATGTACTCATGAAGAAAATTCGCCAGAAAGAGCAAGATTATGCTAATATGCTATGCTACAGTTTATCAAATTCTTTCTGAGTACTCGGTTTTAAGAATATTCAAAAAAAGAGGAAAAAAAGAAGATGATTATCATCTGTAAAATATGCTATTTAAACTCATAAAAAACAATACTACTTCAAAGAATAGGAACTTGTTGATGGTAAAACAGATTGTGGGGTTTATGAAAACTGAAGTTGAATATAAAGGGTTAAAAAAAAAAAAAAAACAAAGACGAAAGTTTGATTTGATCTTCAATAAGCTCAAAACAACACCTTTTATTTTTGATAATAGTAGTTTTTGACTTTGAATCCTACTAGTCTTACTGGACAAATGCTTTAAAAAATTGATACATAAATTATTTTATTTCGTTATATTTTATATTAGAGTTCTTAAGTTCTCATAGAAGTATAATAGAATGGTTTGGAACCTTGGATGTTCCCTTTTTGACCTAAGAGGCTACCATTTTATTTGTAGATGATCAAGAAAAGGGTGTGGAATAAAAATGATTGTGGTATAACAGGAAATGGACCCATAAATTTGGAGAGAATTCCTGGCATCGTTGCCCTAATCCATCAATATCAAATGCAAATGCATTTGTACCAATTTTCTTAAGTGGCTAATATAGGGGCCATGTGTTCCACCCCACTCCCCGCCGGCCCTTTCCAGCTTCCCTGCTTCCCTTCTCTAAGGATAAGATAGAATTTTATTTTTTTTCTTTTTTGGATGAGAAATTGAGAATAAGATAGAGATAGAATCTTGAGCAATCACCTTTTTACTGACCAACTTCCCTACCCACTTCATCAAATAAATTGACAGGACAATATTATTTTTTTATTTAAAAATTATTTTATAATTTAAATTATATCAATTGTAAAATAAATAATTATTTTTTTAATTTCTTTCGAAGGAGACTATCCAAAGAAGGATGTCCATTCACTTTTCCATACTTTCTGTCATTTGTAATGTAAGATTAATTTGAAATCTTTAAAACAAAATATTATGTTTAGAACTTTAAAGGATAATAATATACTTTGTTTAGTAACTAAAGCCAAATGAATTTATTAATAAAATGATAATAATATACTTAATTATTAATTTTTTGTGTCAGGGAAAAATATAAGTCTTTTTTTATTTCAATTGTAAATATGTTAATTTTTATTAGTCTATTTTAAATTAAAAATTAGAACTTGACTTATTGATTCAAAATTTTATTTTTTTAAAAAATTATTTTAATTATTATTTAATAATTGTTTTTTATCCTATGCTAATCCAATAATAAATTGGCTTGGCCCATATATATCCTTACATTTTCTTTGTTTTTTTCCTTGTTAGCTTTTTTTTTAAGAAGTTGTTTCCTTTTCACATCTATCATGGATTAAGAAAATTTGAATATTAGCACCTAAAAGTATGTAGATTAAGGGGAGGGGAGGATTCTTTTACTAATTAAATTATAATATTTAAAAATATTATAATTTGATTGATTAAAATATTTTTTCTTTCCTTCTCTTCCTTTTTCCTCAAACTAAATATACTATATATAAGGCTGTTTTCACAATTTATTCTTTAGTCAGCAGATTTGAACCGTGACTTTAGGACCAAGTGATTGGCCTGCATGCAATGTCCGTCAATTAGCTAGCCTTTTGCCAATCAAAGGGCACAACGAGGCCAATTAAGTTCAGCCACTACTTTGAAGTAGCTGCTCCATTCACCCATTAATGTTCGCTACTTTTTAACTCAATGATGATCCATCCATCATGGTCATGGTCCATACCATCTTAGTGGTTGTCACTTGACCCTTTTACTAGGATCGGTACCACCACCATGCGCCATGGTCCATGGCCTTAAGATACTATTTGTCATTTACCAAAAAAAAAATTAAAGATTTGCTATTTGTCTCTATCCTAGTTTTAATTACATGTGGTCAACATTGTTAGCGGTCCAATGGTAATCTTTTTGCAATAGAAGTAAAAGATGTTAATTTTAAGTTATAGATATAAGTTATTTGTTTGTGTTTATAATTTGATTAGAGAAAAATACAATTAAAAAAAAAAAAAGAGAAAGTTAGTGTGCCTAACTAGCTACTTTTTAGATTTTTGAATCCTTAACAATGGTTGGCCAAAAAAAAAAAATCCTTAACAATGATAGTATATGAAGATTTTAAAATTAATTTTTTTAATATATCTTATGATAGATTATATAAAAATAATAAATTTTTTTTTCTCAAATATTTCTTTATTTGATTTAAGATTCGAATGTAAGATTTTCATTTTGAAATTTTAAGTTTTGAACCAATTGAGATCCTTAAAAGTATATTTTAAAATTAATAAATACTAACTCAATTAAAATTTAATTTGTATACATCCTTTAAAAAGAATTAATTATAAGAACAAAAATGCTTTCCTTGACTTCTTTTTTTTTTTTTTTTTTGTAACTTAAACTTACGTGGCAATGCTTATTAATTTCTAGCCAAGATGGTCACGTTCGAGAATGATACTCTTGAAGATGTTATGACGATGAGTCCAGCCAAATGCTAGACACGACAAAAGAAAGAATGAAACATATTTTTATATTCATCCTTAATCTTGATCCAATCCTTGGCATGAGGACTTAAGAAAGTTGAGAGGTCTTTCTCATTGAAAGTGCCAAACCTGCATAAATTGCCTTATGGTCCATTCAGTAATCATTTTGAAAGTATAGGTGCTCCCAAGAATGTCTAATTTAATGTTAGTTATATGTAATTTCAACTGAAACATTAATCATCAACTTTGACTTATGAAAAAGGAAATTAAAATCTTTAGAATCATTAGTTTTCATATCTAAGTAAATATTATTTTGATTATAGTTGGCTTAATTAACTGGGACTTAAAAAAAAAAATTTGTTTGTGTAAGCTTTATCAATAAATATTTTTTTTGGATAGATCCAATGATAATGAAAGATTAGCAATATAATTATTGATTTTTTTTATCAGCAGTAATATAATTATTGATAATTTTGAAAGTCAACATTCTTTTTTTCTTATATATATGAAGATATGCAAAATTCAAACTTAATATCTATGATTTAAAGTTTCAAGTTCTCCTGAATTTGGGAGAAAGGAAGTTTTTTTTTTTTTGGGCACCAAAGGACAAGCTTAAAGCTTATTTATAACCTAAAACAAACTTTAGGCACTTTTCTCTTTTGCTTTGCCGCAGATTGTGAGATAGATATTTGCATAAATAGGAGTATAATGAATGCAATGTTGAAAGGATAACTGCATCTTACCACTACTAACTGTCCCACCAGAAACAAGCAGTTCGTGCAGCAGAAGCAATGTCATTATACAATTAACCCAAACGAAAAAAGAAGAAGCATCATTCCTTATCTTTAATTTAATCCCAAAAATATCATAATGACAACACTACATTGAATTTTTTTGTACGTCATATAATAGGTTATATAACTTGGAATAACCATTTCTTCCCAAACTTTCTCCATTCATTTTAGGATTTTGAACTTAAGATCATCCATATAAAGATTTAAACTCTTAATCATTGAGTCGCTTTCTAAAGAATACAACACTAAATTGAATAGTACCAATTGAAATAAACGTATAATATGTTCAGTATCATATTACATACATTGAGTATCGTATTACAAGCCAATCGGTCTAGTATTGTAAACCTAAGTACCCATATTCTCTGGCAAAAAGTTACAACAGTTGCTTCACTAGAAAGGGCAAGCAATTACAAATAGGGAAACGAATTGCATTTTCTTTTCCCATAAAAAACTGATCCTTCACAAAGCTAGCTGGATCTCATTCTTTAAGATGAGAGAATTATCTAAGTAGAAGATTAAACAGCTACAAAAAGATCTCATTTTGAATGCTGAAATATGAATGAAAATTTTGGATTCCATACATGAACATGAAAAATGTGGGACTTCAGTGCAAATCTTGGCACCATTATTGGCATTTTGATCAGCGCCAGAAACTTTCTTAGTGCTCCTCAAAGCACAAGGGAGAATACGCGTTTGTTTAGTAAGGCTTTTTCTTCATGAAAATGTACGGACTTTCCCATTTTTGGGCTGCCGGACAGCAGGTGGAAGCCATCAACCCTGCTCTGAACCAAGAAAATGCGTCGTTGTATCAGGCAATGTCATTTGTGGGGATGGAGTTTTAAGGGTTTGTGGCAATGGAATTTTGCAAGCCCAACCGCAACAATCCAAAGAGAGGTAGCAGTTTTCAAAAGATTATATGATGGTGACGATGATGGTACCACGTGAGACTTTGCTCAAATTTTAAAGCACCCAAGACGAAATTCAATGGCATATTCCCCTTTCCAACTGGATTGGAATTCAACCTGAGTGAACACAAAAAATAATAATAATAATTTAAGATGGGTTAGAGGCATTTAATTTTCGATTGTTTGTTTTAGAAGATAAGGATCTTCTCTACATCCGTTCAACAATGTAGCACCATTATTTGGATTGGTCGTGCATCTTAGAGGAGTCTGTTAGAAACTTGGAATAGAAATCATCCCCCTAATCTGCCAACCTTGAGACACATGGAAAGGACAACTGCATTGAATAGCCTACCGTAAAGGCTTGTGCACACTTTGTTTTGGTAACAAATAAGGTTGGAAAAAATTAGATTTTTGCCCCATCAATGGGATATGGCTGTATATTAGTTTCAATGCTGTCACACAGAAACCAGAATGATTGGTGAAGTGAAAGGAAAAAAAGAAGAACGACGGGTCAAAGCCTCCAGACAGAAACACGAACATGTTACATTGCATAACATAGCATCTCATAATGACTTCGAACCTTCAAAAAGAAACCAGGTAGGAAAACTCTATAGGAGATCGAAGGCTTCATAAAAGGAAAACCAAAATGTTGTAATCAACTAGTTGAATAAACCTATAAAGGAAATTTATGCCTTTGCTTTTCCAGCCTGTAGAGATTGTATCCTCTGCTGCAGTTTTAAAATCTGCAAGATATAAGCACATTGTGTTAATAGTGTATCACATTTGGGACAGAAGTATGGAGAACTTAATGAATATATGGAATTGAATGGGAGCTAGCACTCAAGGATAAACTTAACAAGATGTTAACAGTCTCCCTTCTAATGATTATCTTTTAGCTCTTTTCCACCAAGTGTTTTGATCGGTTGAATGTTAATGCTTGTAACATTTACAAGCAGTTTTGACTCAAATTACAGATTCGAAGGATCACCGAAGCCAAAAGTTGACAACTGATCCTTCAGTTTATGTGATGGCAATTTTAGAGATGAAAATCAAGTCAAGATAATTTTTACTTGAAACTAACTTGATCACCACTCCAACTAATCAAACTTTAATAAATTCATAAGTAAGCAGCTAATACAGAATCACCATCCGGTATTTTAGAAATGGAATTGCTTTCAGTAGACTTGAATGGGATGAGGACAATATAATCGAGCTAGTGAAGACCAAAACATTTGCTTGGATAAAAGGTAAAATGAATTCTGCTGCTTTTTGTTTTAGTGACTGGTGTCAATTCCCAAACTTTTGTACTGCTCATTCTTAATATGACACAGCACACATCCTAATGTAATGGGCAAGTACCCCTTGTACTCACAATATATAATACATTTTTATTCATCAAAAAAATACAGAATTACCATTTTAAAAGCAATTGACAGAGGTTATTTGAATTATTGACAACCAGTAGGACTCAAAGACCAAAAAGAAAGAAAGAAGAAACAGAATCCTTTAAAACATATACATAACAAAGAACACATACCCCCTCTTTCTTGCTGTTCTGTTTCCCTTCCAAATCTTGAAGTGTAGAATCAAGTCTCTTCCTATCGATGGAGAAACGAAGTTTATCAGGTTTATAACGTGAAATTACATAAATTAAATGATAAACGTGATAACATAACCATATGACAGCTACCCATATGATTAGATGATAATGCATAAGATTATACAAAGAAATAACTCATACTTGGTTTTCATTAAGCCCACAAGTTCACATGGAAGAATTTACCCCAAAAAAATAATGTTCACACAAAAGAAGTGGTAGGCACCAATCATGTAACCAAAGAAAAAAAAAGCAGTATTGCAAAATCCAACCTAAATTTTTCCAGAAAACCTAACGAAACTTTAAAATCCAGACATTTATAATGTTTCTTTCACAAAAACAGAGTAAAAATAACCATTCAGATGAATTTAACAATATGAACATTGAACATCCTGAACACACAATACCATGGTGATAAATACAAACTGAACAGGGTGTTGCCACTTGCTATAGGAAAATATAAAGCTAATACAAGAACAATAATGTGATATGCTTCCAATTCTTTAATTCAGCTGGTTTAAGTTTCAACAATCAAAACAGAAGAAAAAAACCGAAACATACAGTTCAGCGGAGATGTATTCAATTCTCTTGCGCACATTCGCATTAGCCTCCGCCAAATCTTGCTTCACAAGCACCGGACCGATCAATTTATACACATTCGCACCCTCGTTCAACAAATTCAACTCCTACGAGCACAAAATTAAGCACTAATTGACTAAACCAAACATTCAATTGATTCAACGAAGGGAGATATAGTTAGTAATACGAAACCGAAGGCAGGAACCTTAAGGACGAGCTCGTTCTCGCCGAGCTGGATGGTGTACTTCTTCCTCACTTGGTGATTCTTCGCAATATCTGATTTACCATGCATGAAGTTAGGGTTTGGAATTCAAAATTTACATGGAAATGCAAGTTTCCGAAGATTGTTATTGCTTGCCTTTTTGGAGCTTGCTGAGATCGTTAGCTTTGTTTTCGAGGTCGCGCTGAAGATCTCGGAGAGCTGAGGAGGAGGAACTCATTGTGATCGTCGTGTATTGGCTGTTCCTACGGCTGCGAGCGGTGGCTCCGATGCGCTGCTTCCTTCTTCCGTGTCTTGTGTTTTGACGCTTCCGATGGAAGACGAAAGTGGGATGGGCCTATGAGAAAAATATTATGGAATTGGGCTGTGCTTCAATTTAGCCTCTTGATTTTACAGCTTGACATGACATCTGGATTCTAGTTGGGCTTGTTTTGTGTTGCCGTATGAGTGTAGTGTACTGGTATATTTTACGACATTGGGTTGTGCTTGAATTGAGCCTTTCGATTTTTACACCGTGACGCTGGATTTAGGTTGGGCCTGTATTGTGTTTATCATGTGGTCAACGTATTTAAATATTTTTTATTTATTATGTTAATTATATAATAAAAAATAATTATTTCTCATCTCTTATCTTATTTTATTTGCATATCATACAATTTGAACTTAAAATTTTTTACTTCCGACAGAAAGAAATTACCACTTAGTTACTTAAGTTATTGATAAATATTTAAATACTTATATAAGATAAGATAAAGTTTATTAAGGGTGCTTCCACATTTTCATAATTAGAATAGGATTTATAAATTCTTATTTTGTCTGTAAAGATTAAAAATTGAATCATAAATTGACAATTAAGAATATA